TTGCCGAGTTCGAATGCTTTATGTGATCATCGTCATTTTTGCTTGACGCTCGTTTCTGTTGCAACGAGCGACTGCGCTGTGTGCTGTGCATCCTCTATTCCCCTAACTAAAATGTCAACGGTGTCGCTTTAGTATAGCTAGGTAATATGGAATCTTTTGCTGTACCAACAAAATATTCCCTGTAGCCTGATCTGCTTTTTGGAATCGCTATCCGGGTTTCCGCTACAGGCTACTGGTAATATAATTTACGCTTCGGAACTGGTACGTCACACCGCTTCATTGTTGACACCGGTAGTTTGGAGTCACTCACTTGCAAAACGAGTCTCAGCGATCTATACCTTGATGTTCAGCTTTATTCTCATCCATCAAAATTAATGTTATTATTAGACACACTCCTCCTGTGATAGGATGTTGCACTTTGCCTGCGTTAGATAAGCATTCTAAACCTGTCAAATGTTAGTTTTTGTCGTTGGTCAATGCTCGTCTATCCTCGGTCTCACAGTTATACAGCCGCTTAAAATAAGTGTTACTTTACTGTCACACACTGATACTGGCACTAAAATCGTGGTTTACGACACGAGTGTTCAGTGACATCTGATGGAACGAAAATCTTACCTGTTACCTTGGAAGTAGGCGACGACCTTGTTTTCTGTAAATGTCCTATACTTTCATTTGTACGAAAGGAACCGTTTCGCAGGGTACTTGTGTCTGTCGGTGAAGCAGAGACTATTGTCCCAGTACAAAGTTTACGACGTGCCACTCCCATTGTCACACCGTTTAAGCCCGAAGTCTAAACATTGAGGGTTCGCGGCAATTATCATATTACCCTTAATACGAAGCTACTTCAGCATAGTTGTGGCAAAGAAGAACCTGATTCTATTCTCTTTCGTCTGCATGGATCCAAGATTTTCTGGAAAAGATACTTAAAGTAGTCTATTTGAAGGAACCACTCAATGATGATCCTAGTGAACTGACGATCATCAACACCCTTTCGGGTTTTACTGGTATGGTTTTCTTCCGTTCGGTCTTAACGTGTCGCCAACCATATTCGAAGACGTGATAAACTGCACTGCACGATGTGTTTGTGCATGCTACCGGTAAGCATACTCATAGATTGCTTGCTTTTAAATAGCTTCAAGGATGCTAATGTGAACATCAACCCACAGAGGTGCCTGATCGATGTCCAAGCGAACAGTTATTTTGGTTTTCTTGTTACAACTGAAAGATACAAACCAGATATCGATCGAATAAATCCATTGCCTGATGTAAACTCACTCACCATGTTCACCAGCTTCGATTACTGATGGGAACCTTGCAGTATGATTCCAAATTTATTCCTAAGTTTGCTTCCGTTGCTGATCCTTTATTCACTTATTGAATGAAAAGTGTTTAATTGGTTTAGACAGACATGAGCATGTTCTTCGAAGGTTTTGGAAAATGCGTACTTCTGGTTACCTTCATTATACATGCTCTGCGAAATTATCAACCGTGTTTCTCACAGAAGCCACACCAACCGGTGCAAGTGCTGTTTTAGAGCAAGATGGGCATGATGTTCTGTGTGTCTGTTGTCGACTCAGCAATGCTGAAAAGGGCTATAATCATACTCATCGAGTAGCTTTGGCAGTATACTGGACAGTCACCATAATTCACAAATATTTGCTTGATCTCAGGTTTACTATTGTGACAGATTAAGAAGCGCTAAATTTCATTTACAACTCCGCCAGTACGTAAGCTAAATTTTCAACAGCGGTGCTTCCAATTTGTAGTGTTAATCTTACCGCGAACAATTATGTGATGAAGCACAGAAGTGCAAAATTCATTCCTCAGGTCGACTAGTTATCGAGAACTGCAAAGGTATTCCAGACCGATATTGAGATGAGTTGTTTTCTCATCCAGCCTCTTCCAATTTCTCGTTTAGCCCTTATCAAGAGACTAGAAAGAATTGCGGGTGATTAATTTCTGCTCTCAAATAAGGATGGTCGGTTTCTCTAAAACCAGTTTCCACAATTTTATTTGCGTCGTGATGAGTTGCGCATTACACCTGATGGATTATTGTGTCTGAATGACCGTGTCGTCAATCCACTGCCTTTGAGACCAGCTATTCTGACTGCTTTACATGCTGGTCATCACTAAGTAGAAGAGACGAAGTCCTTAGCTCGATGCTTGTGCTGGTGGCCTGATTTAAATGCAGCTATTCGATGAACTGCTTCCGGTTGACGGAATTGCAAACGCAAGGTTCGACAGCAACCGTCCACTTTGACTCCATCACCTATGACACGCGAGCCCTGGCGAAGGATATATATGGATTATGTGGACCATTTCTGCTCAAGTGCTATGCACTTGTCTCGGCTGATTCATATTCACGACGGCCGGAATTATCCCTGGCTGAGGAACCAACTGCTAATTTTACCGTCCGTGCATTGGGAAAAGTGTTTAGTAGGGAAGGAGTCCTTCTAGCTTTTGTAACTGACAATGGCTCACACTTTTCAGCTTCACTTATTGCCAATTCGCTGTAGAGTCTTGAGTGTCGTCAGCATTTCACTGCTCTACAACACCCATGCTCTAATGACCTAGCTGAAATCTTTGTTGCAACTTTTAAACGTTCTGTTCTCTTCTGTTTTCCAACTATTTTGTGATATTTGATCGCCGTGTTGATGATCCTTCTTCAATAGCGGAATTGTGTGCACTTTATCACTGGAAATACCACCGCAAAACTGGAAATCCGCAATATGAAGTCCAATGTACTTCGGTTGGGAACCGCTGCATCGTTTTATTTTAGAGGCGATGATTTACCTACTCAATCTTGAATCATTGTTAACAAACTTGGTCGTGTATTTAAAATTCTGCATCTTGATGTCTGTGCTGTAAACAAAGGACATGTTGATCAAGTAGGACACAAGAATTCCGTTCAGTTGTTCTCTGATTCTGTGTGCACTAAAACTACTAATGACAATCCATTTTCATATTCTCATGAGAGTTCTGCGAAGAGGCAGAGTATGCTTGAAGTCCTCCAACGTCAGGCGACAAAATATTGCACTAGATCTCAAACACTTTGATTATCCACAACGGCTCCGTTGCCTTGGTCTCTTCTTCATAAAATACCGACGGCTTCTGGGTGAATTCATGTTTGTAGCTGCAATTCTATTCAATCATGAACACTCCTGCCTCCACTTGCTGGAACTGTACCATTCATGCTTCCATGTTCGTGATCAGCAACTCCGGCTCACACATCAGCACAGCCGAGTGAACTGCAAGCACCATTTCTTCGCTCTGTGAGTCTGCCGACGTAACCTCGGCATTTTCGGTGAATGATTTCTAGACTCACCTGGACCGTCATCATGCCGATCTGCACCGTACTCTCCCCAGAGACAATCACCTGCAGTTTGGAATGCCATTCCTCCGACTAGCCCCAGTCATCTCCGTGCCACAAGTCGCTAAACGCAACAGCTTGTTCCTTTACCCCCAACGCTGCCGATCTACATGTTATTGAAGACTTTGCATTCGTTTATGCTACCCTTTTTCTTTCCCTAGCTGTATCAGAGAGCGTAGTGGGGTGTCAGGCCTCGAGTCGGCGTACATTTTGTTCAAATGCTACATAGTCCCGATGAAGATATAGTTAACACGCGAATCTAACCCTATATAAGTTTTCTTGGCCTTTCCAAATTACCCTACCCCATTTCTTTCTGACCTATGTGTCCTGTAAAGCTACAGCATTTTTTTAAATACGATGTTCTAATGTAAGAAGATCCGCCAGATTGTATCAGAAATCCTAACCGAATTACAGAAACATAGAGTTACATTCAAGCTGCGGAGGATGTGATGATTTTACTTACAATAAGCAATGATTTATTATTGTTAATTTTTTGCACCAATTGACTTAGCATACATACCCCGTAAAAATTTGAATTCCACTTCGGACGTTCTTGCTACGAGTCGAGAGTAGCCTAGTTGGAGCTTAATACTATTTCGATTCCGAACTTACTATACTAAGATTAATACGTGTAGAAATATAAAGTATTTTGTGATCTTATCTGAGGAAATTACTGTCCCAGCCATCCGGGGCTTAAAGGTACAACACACTGCTCTACTGTGGTTCGTGTGTATGACGTCACGTGAAACGATTTACTTGACAACTTCTTAATTTGACGTATAATTTCGGCTGTAATTCCCGTGTCGTGTGTCTTGAAGCCTGATTACTTCGTCGTCCGGTTCAGTGAAGCCTTTGTGCTGACGGCTGTCTGCACAAAAAGGGCCACCGATATTAATGAATTGCTATAGCTAGTCCCATCTGTAGCCAGTCGATCCTAGGTATCGTGAATGGTAAACGGGTTAATGTAAAGATGGTAAATGTGAAGCTCAGAGATATTTGATCGCAGTCTTCCATTGGTTACTGGACTTCCATGCGCCTGAGATTGCACTGGACAGCTCTTTCGACCTGCTGGGTCTACCCAATGGTGCGCCTTCCCCGGACCCCTACCGGGTTCTGACCCCATAGCTTCCGCATGCCAATAGCTAGTTCCACTAAGCCATGGGTGACGGCTGCTGACCTGCATGACTGACAATCGTATAAGATATAGCCAGGCACATCCTCCACTCTCAGGCCAGTTACGAGCTGTGAAATGATCAGTGGTTGGCCACAGCAGCTTGGAATTTCCGCATAGCGACTGTGTACGACACAACCCTTAAAAGCTATATGGATGGAGTTCATTTCTAGTACTGAGCATACACCAGCATTATCAAATATACCGTGACAATCAAGTTACTTGTGACAGAAACTCATGTTCTGGTGAACTGAAGTTGAATTACGTGGTTCCGTGCAAACTTTCAAAATGAATACGTGCCAGTTTATTATTTTATGATTAAGCTTTCACAACCCAAATAATGCAGACTGTTAGTTACTTTTGGAGACTCAGTAAGTTAGATAAACAGTCGGTAAAATTAAATAATAATTTTTGCATAGGAATTTACTATTATCTACGTGCATACTTTGTGTTTCATAGTGCCTTCTCGAATGATCGAGAACGGAAAGCTTTTTGGTAAGTCAAACTCCAGATCATTTTACTCTGGTATCTACACACTTTAGTACAGTTGGTTCAAGGAAAGTTTATTCGATCGACTTGCAATTGAGCCTTACTCTAGGTGACATCAATAGCACGAGCCTATTTGATATACTACACATATTTTACTCTTCGCAAAATTGGGTTTTTGCATTTCCATAGGTACAATTTACAAATTTTACTGTTGACCGCTATTTATTTCCAGCCCAAACAATCAGTTCGTAGTTTCAAAACATCTCAATAATCTTTATCCCATTGCAACAGAATTCAGGGTAACGTTCAGTGCGTCAGTACTCCACAAGAAACTACGTGAATCTATGGGTGAATTAGCTGTTTGCAACAGAGTAAGTGTGTCAATCTCTGTCCTTTACTTTTAAATGCAATTAATTAGTTCTCGATTGTCCAAACCATCTTCGAAGAGAAGCCAAATTTATGTGATATACATAGTTGAGACAAGATGCATGCTGCATACTTATTGTCTTTTATCTCCAGCTCAAAGAATTTTCAAACTACACGCTAAAGAATTGTAAAGTAATCGAGAGGAAAGCCAACTACGGAATTGCTTCTGTTTCAATTAACTCAACGAAATACTCGGTTTGGGAAGCGCAGCTCCAACTTATGGGCCAATTGAACTCAAGAAATCCAAATTATTGTTATTTCAATGTGGAGACCACGAAGATTTTCAAAGGCTACTAAGCAGTACAATGAACTATCTATTGTGTAACAAAAGTGGTCAGAAAGAATGATGGTGAAACAGAAATGCGACTATGCTTGCAACTGTCGTGCGTTTACCTGAACTTTACTTAATGCTGTTGTACTAGTTTTCTAAACCGCGCACATACATTCTTAGCTGCACGATTGTAAGGAAACGATTAAATCACTGATTAAAATACCGCACTTAATGGATTTCTTTTGGAACGGTGATAACATATAAATAGCTGTCACCTTTTAATGAGAGTTAATGCAATCTGATTTCATACCTTATAAAAAGGAGGGAAGTAGCAGTCACAAATGTGACAGCATTATGCATATGATACCGCCATATTCGCTTCTAGTTAGGTCTTCCTTCTTCGGTTGAATTACCATTGCATCTACATTCAGATAACTAAGCTGTTCAGATGTAGAAAGAAGCGCGTTGCTGCACCTTTATTTTCTTACGGATTTAACTCATGCTAGTTTCTCGATGCATTTCACAAGAATTAGAACTACCATCCCTATCCAATGTATCACCTCACTTGGGATACTTTTATGCGATTCAGTATTGCAGCTTCAGTAGTAAGGTTCGGCGCAGACTCAACGGTCAGTTATTGATTCGCCGATCAAAACAATGCGTCTGTCCATATTAGCAGTAACGGCGGCCGAGCGACTGCGTACACACTCCATACGATGATTCACATTTTCTATCGACTGACGTTTTGGGAAATTGTGCTCCTGCTTGATTCTATAACCTTAGCGCAACTAAAAGGTTAGTCACTAGTGAACATAATTTCCTCAACAAACAAATGTCACTTATGATTTAAACCCGTAAGGTAGGGACTAACGCGTTTCTAATGATCTAAAGCGTTTCTTTCTAAAGGATTTAGGTTATCGTCACGCTAAGCAAATTATCACAAATGCGAAATTGCAGTGTTTTGTTGCGCAATTTAGACAAATTTATTCCAGTGTACAGCTGCATAATCGTGTTAAAGGAAGAGTGTGTATAGTTGAGGAAACCGGTTTAGGATCTGGCGAACACGAGGTTACACAACCATAACAATACGAAATGACTTTTACATTTCAACGAACATTTTATATTCAATGGTATTTCATCAGAGTCCACTATCAGTCCGCAGACTGGCACGCTTGGAAAAGCAAAAGACAACCATATTCTGAGCTTCTGGGACACGGAAGTAGTGGGCAATCCGTGGACCCCCGCCGGGTTTAGAACACATGACTTCGGATAAAAGCAACTAGTGCCACAGCCATGGGGGACGGCCGCGGAAGCGCATGATTGACAGTTGGCTAGGCTATAGGCCACATCACCTTCTACTGTCATGAATATTGTGAACTGTGCAGAGAAGAGCAGCTAGCCCCAGGAGCTGGGAATTCCCGCAGAGCGACTAGGTACGACACAACACTTATAACCTGTACGGACATTGCGAAATTGCGGCACTGAGTATCCAATACGTCGGAGACGCTGTTACCTAGGTTCGTGATTGCGGCTTTCTCTGTGACAACACTATCCGGTGGGAATGACACTTTCCGGATACTCATTTTCCGTCTCCTTAATCACCTGGGCAACATGCCATCCTTGGTTCGCGTTCCGGAAATTTGATGAAACACATTGTAAGGGATCTAGTCACGTCTTGAGCTGACCAACTGCACTGTGCGAAGTAAAGAGACCAAGTATCTGGAAGCAGTCGTTCCCACCTAATAAGGTAGCCACAGAGAAAGCCGCCGTCACGAACCTAAGTAATTGAGTCTCCGGCGCAAACGAAGCTAGTTGCTATCGGGGAACACTGTACATGAGATAGCATTGCGTTGTTGCCCGTCGGCCAATTATGTCGCGACAACGCACCGACCTGCACGATGCCGCAGGATGTTCACATGTACGGATGATTGCATGTTGCCTAAAGAGGCCGTGCGGCAATGTTTCCTCATTTTCTCATGAAGCCGTCATCGTGCCGACTAGAAATGATCAGAATCGAACCTTAGGCGCCTCCCGTGTCGGAAGTTAATTACCAAACACAGCGATCGTATTAGGTGGGAGACACGTTGCAGTTTGCTTAATGTAAACTTCTTAACCTGCCATAGTTGGATGGAAGTGTTAGAGTCTGCGGAACGAAGACGAGAACACGTGGGTGGTAATCGCAAAGCTCTGACAATTCGTTTGCGTTCGCGTTTAAATCGGAGTACGAGTTTGCGGTCAGCACCAGGACCGTCGGTCGGCTAGTAACGATAATGAAGCTACACTCGGTGACTGAGTAAAACAAAAACTAGAGATTGAAAGGCGACGGAAATCAGTTGTCATGCAGCTGCGGATTCTTCAAACAGATCTATATGTTAAATGCTTCCACATATTGCAACCTGGTACTTCCTTCAATATGCGTACCATGGGGAACGCAGGTTTAGCCAAACAAGTGCGAGCATTTGGTTTCGCCTCAACTAACTCTAAGGTGGCCAAGTAGCGCGTTCACACTAATGGTAACGCAGCTTATCTTTTGTACCGCCATCCGAAAAATGGGGCAAATTACAGCTAATCTGGCGGTTCATCCAATTTCATATCATCTGCAATTAACCTTGATCCTGGGGATAAATGACCTTAAATCGAGTCCGTTTTAGAGCGGAACAGTGTTAAATGCAGTACCGTGGAGCCAGGAACAATGTAACAGAATTATACAAAGTTGTTTGTTTGAGCGGGATGGAACATCCGTAGCTCGGTATCCGTTATTGCAAGTAGATTTCGCGTTAATTCGTGCACGGTCCAGGTCGTCCGTGTACAGGAAGCAGTACAAAACTTTAGCAGTCATTTCTCTCATGCGATCTGTCACCAAGGAGCACTTCGTTGCACTAACTACGGTGAACCGCAACAAATCCGAGCTCAGGTGAATTAAGTTAGCGTGCAGGCCGAATAAAGATGGTTACCTTGTTCACCCGTTGGCACTTGCGAGCAGTGCGCCCATCGCACGCAAAAGCTTGCTCGGACATGCACCTAGTAACTTTAGGTGCAAGGACATTAGCTACCGGCTGTAGTGGAATGCGAAACAAATATCAGCATTTTACGCCGACAACCTTTGTTAAAGGGATAAGGTGGGGTAGGCTCAAACCGTTTGTCTTACTGTGTCCCAACGTCATAATACTCCACATCCACTGAACCAACGCGTCACTAGTCTTACCCGTGTCATGCTATCAGTTATTGCCAAAGGGATGAATTTCTCTCGAGCATGTGTGGACGGCATCCATTTGCTCACATGGTGACTACATTTACCTCCAAACTAGCATCCGACATCCTATTGGCTGATGGCGCGGTATAAATTAGATAGCTATGCGACGGTTGGCGTGAAACCAGTGGCCGGCGCATGGGCGGGCGGACTTGTAAAAAAACGAGGCGAAGTCGAACTTCCTACTGCTTAACTTGACTATCTTATGGCCTAAAATGTCTGTAAAATGGTATAGATGCAACAGCGTCCACTACACCCACTGAGCATTCCCCGCTATCTATAGTTCTAGAGTTACCGGCGTTACGGTTATGTTGCTGGTAGCATATATCTGCGCATCTGACTTCACGTTTTATTCATTTGGCCTGCTCTTGTTTCGTCCAAGTGGTCCACAATTCAAGACAGCATGGATGATAAGAAACAGTTGTCGGAAACACGGTTGGCCCCACATCCACGGGCAGAACGAAGTGCAGCGGTTGACGGTAACACGTCACATTTGTAAGGAAAATATACTTGTAAACTGGACATGTCCATTGTACAAATGCCTAATGCAACTTTAAGAGCATCCTTGATCCATTCTAGTTTACCAAACACCTGCGCGGATGTGTCCAGCTTCTCCAAAAGGGGCGGAAGAAACTTTCTCTTGACAATACGTGTTTGTAGTCACGCAAGAGCATTTTAATCAGACGCTTTTTGCACTATCCTTGCGGCTTCTCTTTATAGGTGCACTCCGCCGGGCTCCGCAATGCAGGAACATAAGCACCATCGCTTTCACCTTGGCGTTTGTGTTGAGCATGAAAGATGTAGCGAAGCTGTGTTGAGAAATAAGGACTACATAGGAGACGTCACCGAAATTTAAACGTTTTGAAACACATTTTCGATTACGCAATTTGCTGTCTGCGACTGTATTAAACGTCCTCCGTACCAACAAGCTCAAGATAATATGGCATTGTTGAGATATAGAACACTGCTCTGGATACAGCCAAAGTTGTTTATCCCACCTTGAGTATCACATGCCACACGAGGATTTCTCTAGCGCTGGAACTGCTTGTCACTAGCAAAATAGTTTTGGAGTTTTGCTTTCTTTATAGGGTGAAAAACACAGAAAGCAACGCTGCAGCAACATTCGGAGATGCACCTTGACCGTTTTGCACACATACTTCCTCGGTTTGTTTTGTCGAATTTGGAACTCAAGGCATCCAGCAAGGGTCATCAGATTGTAATATGCAGGTTAGGGAGATTCCAGAGATTGAACCGGATAACGTATTACGGGAGAAGAAACAACTACAAAAGGTAAGGTATCGTTATAAGGAAAGGAATAACATACGTTACATTCAACCTACTAGTTCTTCCTTATCTTCCTCTTCCGTGACAGCTAACGACCGGATTTCTTTACTGCAAATGAGGGAGTGATATAAGTAATAGTTCACATTAGTGGGTCAACTCCGTTTCTGTTCACCTTGCATTAATTCAGCATTGCTAACCTAAAGGTGATTTACTTACACAAATGAAAATTAGTTTGTGGAAAAAGGAGGAATAAATATCCGCCGTGAGTAGCGTAGCAAAATATCCAAAAATGACAGTAGCGGCCAAGCTTAAAAGCCCCGCCACAAGTCACACTGTGTGCACCACAGCAGAAACATGTTTAAAGGTATTAGGAAAAACTGTGGATGGACTAACATTGTAAGGCTAAAAATACGAACTATTAGTAAGATGTCTTGGCTAATTTCCGTGAATTTACGACACGCTGCTGGTACTATCTTTTGTCTTTGTTTCTAA